ATTATCGTTCGAAGTTTTGATTGTGATGCAGTGACTTTGGGAATTTGCGGGTTGACTCAATATGGGGTACAGACTTTTGGGGGTTGGGAAATTCGTCTTTTCTACTGTAGATGCTGCCAAGTGATTGGGAGAAACCAAATTGGGTTGGCAGGTGTGGCCAACTTGGGTGAGGTGGATTGTGGAGGTTGGGAAAGTGACAAAAGTAAAAGTGGGGTTGCTATAGGGAGGGGATTTGATGTGCTTATGGGGTTTCCTTGGTTGGGGACTCTCTTGGGACCTTTCGTCTCGTCCTCCTCTTCCCTCCTACCTGGTTTCTAGCAACTCTAACTTTCTTGTGTTGATCTTGTGAGACATTTGAGATTGAGTTAAGATTCTATGGCAGCATACCCCCCTGTGCGCCGAAATTGATAAGTCGAGTTATACTTCACCTCTTGATACGATTCAACTTGGGAATTGTAGCTACGCTCTAGAGCTACAACATATATGAAATTTGTGAAGTTTCAACAGTGCAATTTTCGTAGACGGGGTTTCTTGTGAGCGCGACGTTTCTGTCCAGAATTCTAAGCCAACGAATTTTGAGATATTTCGGCTCCTAATCTTCTTAGACCTCGTCCTTAGTCTCTAACAGTCTTCACCTTCCTTCTCTTTACCCTTCCAGCCACGCTCTGCCACAGCCAGCTTTGTGCTCTTCGCTGGGCGCCTCCTCCTCATGGACCTCCAGACCTCCAGTGCTTCCGGCCAGTCGATATCATACTTGAGGAGCGAGATCTGCATTAGCTCGCCGAGCCGCGCGTTGTAGAGTGCGCCTCGGACCCACGACTTGATGACGTTTTTCCTGGAGAAACCCCTCTCGCACTCCACGGTTGACAAGGGGAGCACCGCGATCGCCTGCCACAGAAGGATGAGGTTGGGCCATCTCTTGCCAGGTACAATCACGCAGCAGCACACACCGTGAAGAAACGTTTATGACATGCACAGCACACTAACACTCAGAAACAGCGCTGCCCCGAGCAGTGCGTTACTTCTTCGGGCTGCGCTCCCAAAAATGTGGGTGAGGCCCTGCTTGAAGCTCTCCAGCTCGTGGTGCATCTCCATTATCGCACAGAATGTTGGGAGCTCCCTCTCTGCGGCCTTGAGGTCGAATCCCGTCAGCTTGTTGCGGAAATGCTTACTGCATTCCAGAAGCCACTCACGGCACTTCCGATCCCGTTGAGCCTTGATCTTCACCCACATCCCCGCCCGAAACAGCTTTGTCAGCCCCAGCTTCCCCACGTCATCGAGACGCTTGTTGAGGTTGTCCACGCAATCGTGGGTGAACATGCGGCACAGCTTCACGCACTTGGCGTAAGTGCTTCCGTATTTGTGCCCCGGGTACTTCCTCTCGTGCATGGTGTAGAGGTGGTTGATTGGGCGTCCTTCACCGTCCACGCCTCGCACCCGAACCTTCTTGCCTCCGCCTTGCCCGTGCAGCTTCAGAAAGGAGACCAGCCAGCTCGTGCTCTCGCCACCGAACGGCTTGTCGTTCGTCAAGTACCGCTCCGTCAGATCCGGCGTGGTGGACCCAATTGTTGTATGCACGTCAGTATGCGTGCATGTCATCCTAACGTCCTGCTGTGTGCTTGTGCAATTCATGCCTGCGTCATTTGCATGAGCATAATTCATTATGCATGGCTGTTGGATTTTATCATCTCTGTGTTTTTCTCCAAGTCTAAATGCTTGATTGCGCAGGAGAAATCCTGAGCTTTCCAACGATACCAAGATCGCCTTATTCCGACCAAGATCGCCCAAGATCCAAAATTTCCAAGATTTGGTAATTCTATCTTGATTTGGGATATTAACTAAATTGGGCGATTATTGGGACATGACTATAAAGGGATCTTTGGTTGGGTGGTTAGGACTGCAAGTTTGACTTTTGGATTGGGGTGGCTGATGTGGGACCCCAAGAGCAAGAAGACGCTGGTCAGTCGTGACGTCAAATTTGTGGAGGACGTCATGTACAAGGACTGGCAGCAGCAGCAGCAAGTGCTGATTGGCCTGCGTCTGCAGGAGATAGAGCGATCCGCAGTGGAGGAAGTTCATCTGCACCTTGATGAACTCTCTAGGTCAGAGCTGACCAGTGACCATAGTGGCGGTGGTGATCAGCAAGTTGCTGGTCGTGCTGCAGAGGAGGGGCTGGAGGATGAGTCAGTGCATGTGGACTCACCATCTCAGCCTGAGCCTGCTGTACAAGCCAAGGTTACAAAAGGGAGAGTGCTGAAAAAAGCTTCACCACTTGGGCAGCAGACTGCCACTCGCGAGAAGAGAGTGGCAGCAGCACCTTCAAGGCTGAAGTATAGCCGTTTGGGAGGACCCAAGCAGGGTGCCATGGCGGTTCAGGCTGATGAGGGAGATGGTGAAGACATGGCTTTTTGCTTCTTCACGCCCTTGCCTGGAGAACTAGCCACATTGGAGGAGGCACTCAATGGACTTCAGAAGGAAGAGTGGAAGGCTGCCATGGATGCGGAGTTTAATAGTCTCATTGAGAATGGGACTTGGGAGCTTGCTGAGCTACCTGAAGGGCGACGGCCCATCAGCAGCAAGTGGGTCTTCAAAGTGAAGACGGATGCTGATGGAGCACTGGAGCGGTTCAAGAGCCGCTTAGTTGCCAAAGGGTTTCAGCAGAAAGAAAAGATCGACTTTGGTGCAATCTTTGCTCCTGTGGCTAAGCCAGTAACATTGAAGACTTTGCTGGCTGGCGCAGCTGTGAAGGGATGGCATGTGAAGCAAATGAATATCACCACTGCATTCCTCAATGGAATACTGTTGGAGGATATCTACATGAAGCAGCCTGACGGCTATGATGATGGTACTGGCCGAGTGTGCAAGCTTAAGAAGGCTATCTATGGCCTTAAGCAAGCACCTAGGTGCTGGTACGAGAAGCTCGAGGAAGTGCTGCTAGATGGAGGCTTCAAAACATCCCAAGCTGACCACAGCTTGTTCCTGCTTGGCGAGGGGGAGCAGCGGCTCTTGCTGCTGGTGTATGTCGATGACATACTGCTGTTCTTTCCTTCCATGGAGCAGATTGAAAGAGCTCAGAAGTTGCTGATGGACAATTTCAAGTGCAAGATGCTTGGGGATGTCCATTACTACTTGGGGCTGCAGATTGAGCGAGATGTTGAGAGGAAGTGGCTGAAAATGCACCAGTCACACTACATCTCTGGCGTGATGGAGCGTTATGGTGTGACTGGGGGTCGCACTGTGATGACGCCATTTCCTGCAGGCTACAAGCTACAGAAGGCAGCTGAGGATGATGATGTGCTCGAGGATGAGCTGCAGAATGAGTACCAGTCACTCATTGGGAGTGTGATGTATGCAGCTGTGCATACGCGACCCGATGCTTCGTTCGGAGTGGGGCAGCAGGCAAGAGTTGTTCAGCAGCCCACAAAGGAGCATTTGGAGGTGGCAAAGCGCATGGTGTGCTACCTCGGATCTACCGCATCTGCTGGTGTTCAGTTTTCAGCTGGTGGTCAGCTGAAGCAACCTGGAGCAGATGAGATCATGCCTGGAACCTTGAAGCTGTCGTGCTTCACCGACGCTACATGGGCCTCGGAGGATGAGGATCAGTCATCTGTGGGTGGCTATGTGTGCATGGTCGTCGGAGGACCAGTGAGTTGGAGGTCCAAGCAGCAGAGTGAGATTGCTCAGTCTTCGGCAGAGGCAGACTACATGGCAATGTATCATGCCATAAAGGAGATTGTGCTCGTGAGGAAGCTGGTGGAGGACATGGGAGCTGAACAAGAGGGACCTACACCACTTTTCTCTGACAGCGAGAGTGCTATTGCTATGGCCACTAATCCTATCATGAATGGTCTGAACAAGCACATGAAGGTTAAGTGGCACTGGGTGAGGCAGATGGTGAAGGAAGGGGCTGTTGAGCTTCATTGGGTGAAGGCCTGCAAGCAGGCAGCTGATTTTCTTACCAAGAGACTTCCCGAGAGCGCACATTGGAAGTGTGCTAAGATGTGTGGCATGGCGTTGCACTAGTGTATCCAACAATATCATGGGGCATGTGTGTTTGTCTGTGTGATGAGTTTGCATGCGTGTGAGTGTGTGTGCATGCAATCTGTTAGTCTGAGGGGGAGTTTGTTGTATGCACGTCAGTATGCGTGCATGTCATCCTAACGTCCTGCTGTGTGCTTGTGCAAATCATGCCTGCGTCATTTGCATGAGCATAATTCATTATGCATGGCTGTTGGATTTTATCACCTCTGTGTTTTTCTCCAAGTCTAAATGCTTGATCGCGCAGGAGAAATCCAGAGCTTTCCAACGATACCAAGATCGCCTTATTCCGACCAAGATCGCCCAAGTTACAAGATTTCCAAGATTTGGGAATTCTATCTTGATTTGGGATATTAACTAGATTGGGCGATTATTGGGACATGACTATAAAGGGATCTTTGGTTGGGTGGTTAGGAAGGCAAGTTTGACTCTTGGATTGGGGTGGCTAGAAGTTTCTAGCATGGGTTGCAAATGTTGCAACACCTAGGCAAAATCCAATTGGATTGAATTTTGCATGTGACACCTCAAGGACCTCATTATGAGGGCTGCATCTTTGATGCTAGGAAGGTTCCCACCATACTTCCCAAGCATTTGGAGAGCCTTCCCTCACAAGGTTCTCTTGAAACCCCCCAACTCATCATTCTATGCCTTAATGTTTTGTTCTTCCTCCATCCTTTCTAGTGAAAGCAGCAACTATACGTTTTGAGTTGGTTCTCACTCCCTAGACCACCTTTTGACCTGATTCAACTTCGAGGTGGTAGCTAAGACCAGCGCGCGCAATTCTACTGAGCGGATTTGCGTTTAGTTGAGATTTGAGTTCGTCGTAAGTCTTCAAAGTGACCGGATCCTAAGCAACATCAATGGTCTTAGAAATCTTCGTCACATCTAGCTGTCAGAACACCGCCATTGAGCACATGTTACACAGTTACTAACAGTAAAACAAACCATGCACAAACAGAGGCCTACTCGTGAAAGTGAAATACACTTACATCACGCTTCTTGAAGCAACGGTAGAGGTCGTTCATGTCGGCGAGGATGTCGGTGAGAAAGAACAGGCAGAACTGGAACTTGTAGCACGTCACAATCTCGTACGCCTTGTGGTTGTTCTCCCAGAGCAGAACGATGCACGCGCCCAGGACCTTGCACAGCCGACGCACCGCATCCCCTCGTGACAGCCACCGAACCGTGTGGATCCCCTGGACTTCAAGGTTCGTGTTGTAGATCACTCGCTGCAGGTACTTGAAGCGTTGACTCCAGACGCACGACTTCCCGAGCTCTTCTGCCACGGTGCGCACCACCTTGTCCACCATGTCCAGGTCCGATTTGGCGTCGTAGCATCCTTCACATCTAGAGCCTCCATGTAGGACGCAGGGGACATAACACAACATGTGTGAGTAAAACAAGTGACATGTCTTGCGCATCTTCACACCTTGTAAACTCACCGGTGGGCGATCGAGTGACAGGAAAAGAGATGCGGGACGCGTTCCCGAATCCGTGCCACCAAGCCGTTATCCTTCCCACTCCCACGATCTTGGACACATCGACGGATGAGGAGCGGAGATGATTCAAGAGCACCTCGAAAAGAGACCCTGCATCACACTTCTCAACTGTGAGCAGGGTGAAAAACTCGCAGGCGACTTGGCGATTTTTCAAAAATGTGAGGTAAACAATCATATGTTTCCCTCGCGTTCGGTCGGTGCTCTCGTCGCAGCTGAGGCCCAGGAATGGGGAAGACTTGGATGTGGTCCATCTGCACCCTCGTCAGGTAGAAACTGATGCTGTGAACCATCTGCTAGAAGCCGTACCTGCACATGTTTGTAAGTACACTTTTCAGCAACAAATGAAGGAAACAATAAACGCAACACACGTAACATAGCAACATTCGGAAACAGCGTCATACTGAGTGAGATAGACCATGTAGGATTGCCTCGGGATATCGGGCGTGTCCTGCTCCGCGAGATGCCGCATCAGCTTTGGGAACATGCTGATCGGCGCGTCGCACTTGCACAGAAACTCAACCGACCGCATGAGTCGAATCGTGCGCCTCCCCTCGATGTCCGAGTTGATGAAGCTTGAAATCACCTGCTGCCCCTCGCGGATGTCCTGCGCAATCTTCATCTGCCGATCAACCGCCGCCGTGTGAGCGTCCGTGTGCTCGTGATCCCGGAAAGACTGCGTCTGCAAGTCAGGGCCACCATCATCACCTTGCCAGGCGTACTTTGTGTTCTCCTTCCCGTACGACATGCAGACGCTGCACTTCACATAGGGAAATCGGTCCTTGGTTTTCCGAAACACAAGCCACGAAAAAATGCCCGACCACTTTGTCTCGTAATTGATACTCGCCTCAAGACACATCTGATATCTCAGCTGCATCTTGGTTTAGTGCGGGCGAGCCGGTGTCCGCGCGGACAGGGATGTCAGTTGTGTCGAGAGACTAACGGGTGAAGAAATTGACTAAGGGAATGAAGGTACAAACAAGTTATAGAAAACCCTAGCAATAGTTCTAGCACGAGAAACAGAATGTACAACACCTAGACTAAAACTAAATAAACTATAAAGAAATATAGTTTGACACACCCCCATAGAAATATACAACGCCTTGGTGAAGATATCTGTCGTGTTGGCCTCAGAGACCACACGTCGTACGAGTGCCTGGCCACGCTGCTGGAACTCACGCAGAAGGAATTAACGAAGCTGGATGTGCTTCGCCTTCCCAACCATTCGGGGCTCCGCACACAACAGGACAACAGACCTGTTGTCGGCGAACAAGACTGGGGGAGAGGAGGCCACTCACCAAGGTCGGTGAGAAGGAAAGACAGCCAGCGAAGCTCCTGAGCGGCCATGGCCGCAGCGTACACCTCTGCCTCACAGCTGGAACCGGAGACGGACGACGCCCGAGTCGACCGCCACGAAACAGCACCTGTCCCGAGGCTAATGGAGTACCCCTGTGTAGACCGACGCGTCTCCGCGTCGTCGGCCCACGACGAGTCCGAGTAACCTGTGAGTGTAACTGGCTGCTTCCCTCCAAGGACAAGTCACATGCCTGATGTACTCACCACATACTTTGCCACCTTGTTAGGAGCGTACCAGTGGCACGGTCGGTGCCTCCCAGGCGCAACAAAGCGCGCAAGGACGCTAAGAGGGTAAGCTAGGTCTAGGCGAGTACAGGTCATCAGGTACATGAGACAACCCACCAGCTCAGGATATGGACCAATGGACTCAAATGACTCGTCCGAAGGTGGAGCCGTGAGCCCATGATCCACAACAAGAGGGGTGAGCTGTACCTTGGTGAACGGGAAGCAAAACCGCGTGAGGATCTGCTCGACCATATGCGACTGAGTCAGCGTAACGGTGCGAGCTGCCTTATCCCTGGTGATCTGCAGGCCAAGGTAGTGCTGCAGCTCACCAAGGTCAGTGCAAGTGTGTCTCCTCTGCAGTTCCTCCTTCACGGAGGCCAGCGCGCGTCGGTCGGGAGTGGCGAACACCAGGTCGTCGACGTAGACCAGGACAAAGAACGGGGTCGAGCCACGGCGGACGAACAGTGACGGGTTGGCAGACGATGGAAAGAAGTCAAGTGCGGCAAGGGTCGAGCGAAATGTGTCGTGCCACTCACGTGGAGCCTGACGCAGGCCGTAGACTGGTCGACGCAGCTGCCACTGGGTCCCAGGTGGGAAAGAGCCAATGAAGCCAGGCGGGCAACGCAGCCAGATCTGCTCGTGCAGGCTCCCCTGAAGGAACGCGGTGGAAAAGTCCAAGGAGTGCAACTCGTAGTCGCGCTGGGCTGCAATATGCGGCAACACCCGAATAATAGTCATCTTTGGGTGGGAGCGAAGGTCTGGAAGAAGTCCACTCCCTCTCGCTGACTGAAGCCTCTCATCACATAGTGCGCCTTGTACGCTGGTGGTGATCGAGGCGGCCGCTTCACCTTGTAGAGCCATCGGCCACTGACGATGTTCGTCCCAGGCGGTGGGACTGCGTCAACATAAGTGTATGTAGACCTATAAGATGCCATCTTTGCCTCCTCAGCTGCTATCCAGTACGAGGCCCAAGGTCCCGAGACCGCCTCAGCATGACTGCGAAGGATCGGAATGTCAAGAGCGTCTGGATCCCCCTCAGGGGCAAGCAGCATGGCGCAGAGATGAGGAACATCGGCCGCAAGAAAACCAAGCTCGAACTGCCTGTCCTCTAGGACCTCCAGAGGAAAGACAGGAGCACCCCCAGAGGACGGAGAACGAGCAGGCCCACTCAACAAGTGAGCAGCGTAGTCAAGGCGGTGGGAAGAGGCAAAGCCAGCGACAGTGGTAACAAGTGCTGAGACAGACGACAGGGGTGCTGTCGGGTGAGTGACCAACGCGGACAAAACACAAAAGACGACAGGACGGGAGGCACGGAGGTAGTCGGACAACGGGTCGTGAAGCACAGTGAAGGACGACTCAGGAGGCTGTGGAAGGACAAAAGGAGGTGGAACACGAGAGCGGAGAACAAGGTGAAACGAGCCGTCTGCACGGTAACGAGATCGACGGGGCTCTGGAGACACAGCACGATTGAGGGGAGAATGACGAATCCACTGGGACGAGGAAAGGGACTGGACGGGGGGAACTGGAGGGGACAGTAGGGGACCGCGAACCAAGCGTGGAGGTGCTGGGTCGGGCAGGTCGCGCAGTCGCAGTCGCTGCTGCTCCGCCTCCTCTAGCGTCTGCTGCGACGGTACCGGCCCCTGCTGCTGCTCCTGTGGCTCCGCCCGCCCTCTCCGCCTCTTCTGGCGTCTGCTGCGACGGTACCTGCCCCTGCTGCTGCTCCTGTGGCTCCTCCTCTGCCCTCTCTTGCTGCGGCTGCAGCTGCACCCGCTGCTGCGACTGGGACTACTGCGCTACCCTCTCCTGCTGCGGCCGTGACTCCTCCTCTACTCTCTCCTGCTGTGTCTGTAACTGCACCTGCTGCTGCGGGCAGGACTCCTGCTCTACCCTCTCCTGGTTTGGCCGTGACTCCTCCTCTAATCTCTCCTGCCACGACTGCAACTGCACCCACTGCTGCACTGGTGACTCCTCCTCTACTCTCTCCTGCTGCGGCTGCAACTGCACCTGCTGCTGCAGTGGCTCCTCCTCTACTCTCTCCTGCTGCTGCGACTGAGACTGCTCCTGCTCCTACTGCTGCTGTGCCCTCTCAAATCGGTCATGCTCCTCCCTCTCGAACTGAAGGAGATGCTGCTCACCGGTCAGAAAACGTACAGTGCGCGGTGTAGGCGCCACAGTGCCAGTGCCTCCAGCTCCAGCACCCCCAGAACCAGCACCTCCACCACCGACACCTCCGGGGCCTCCAGTACCTCTCGTACGAACCCCCAGGCTCCATTTGGTTTTTTTTTTATGCGTCTGCACTATTGCAAATGCAAGTACATTCCCAGTCGTAACTGTATTCGGGAGAGGACCGACCCCACGGCCTTAATCCGCGTTGCCCCTCTCCTCCCAGCTTCTACGGGGGGCGATGAAAGGTCCTAGGGTTCTGCCAAATGGATAGAAAATCATCCTTCCACGTGGCCTGCTCACCTGGAGTGCAGATTCTATTTACCGCCGCTCTCTCGTCTGTTGCCAACCTGTTATATTCACAATAGGCTCAAATGTGCCTAAAACGAAAGATAGAGTGCACAGTCGGATTTCTGCACAGCGAGTTCAAACGTTCATAGCGTTCTGGTCACAGCTTCAAATGACCTGATTCAAATTGGATTTGAAGCGTCTTAACGTTGCCTACAACAGGGTATTTATATTGCACGATTTCACCAAGTATTGACGACACAGCGTCGGTTTGAACGAACGGCACTATGGCAGCCACTATAGTCTTAGAACACAAGATAGGAAGAGTTACGAGTTGGGAATGACTCCCAGCTCCTACAAACCCCAAGAGCCGAGGTGCAGTGATGTGGAACAGTGCCACACTGTTTCCAACCAAGAAGGGTCTCGAAACTACCCTCCACAATGGCCTACACCAAGAGAAATGCTACACTACACATTGTAATGTAACTATTATCAATATCTTGAAGTGTACCCTTTTGTCGAGCTTCGGAATCACTTGAAGCTTGAAACCAAGGCTCGGGTTCTTCATCACAAACTCATCCTTGAGTTCTTGATGGGTCTGCTGCACACACCTGCGACACGCCGAACGTTCGACACAGGGCAAAATTGAAACCGCGCGAGACACACAAACGACGAAAGAGAAACCGCGCGGGACACACAAAATGACCGCGTAATACGCGGCTAGCGATAACTCGCTATTGACTCGACACACACACACTCGACATCACGACCCATCATTCACACACTATTATAAGCATGAAATATATATTATCCCATGGCCTCATACCATTCCATGCACACACGCATGCATGCACACGGACAACAACCCCCGCCACGGGTCACTTGGCACCATTGCCACCGCATTACGGTCGACGCCCTTGGAATTTTCTGCCCTGTAAATCCGCGCATGCCTCATAAAATCGCAGATCGCCTCCCTCGCCACTTTCTTCCTCTAGAATCTTTCGTTCCTGTACACCGCATCCACCCTGGCCAGCCAAATGCGCCGCATTGTTACCGCTGTCAGCGTTGTCCTTGGAAAGCCCGACTTCGTGGCTCCCTCCTGGAACAGCATCTCTCCCAATGACCGCACTTGCACGCCTAGATCCATCATCTAGAGCGAGCTGAGCATATCAAAAGTACGAGCAGAAAGTTTAGAAGCAGAAAGGAGGGTTTTCACTAGCAGTAGTTGGGATACATATAGCAAACCCTAACTGGGTTGTACCCGCTATAGAGCACCCCACTACAGGCTAGATAATAACATTCTGACACACCCCCATAGCCAAAGTGGGGTGTAATCAGCACAATGAGCAGGCATAGCAGGAGTTCACAATAATAAGCAAAGCTAGAGGTAATCACAGCGGGCAAGTGAGGAGGAGGAGGAACTGTGGAAGGAGAGAAGATGGGAGGCAACGACTGAAGCTGCAGAGGCACGGGCACAGGAGCGGCTGACTCAGTGGCTACCGAAGCAAGGGCGACGGACTACTGGAGTGACTGGCTCCGCGGCTAAGACGAGCGGCAGGAGCAACGGACCCACTGGCGACTGGTGCAACAGGCTCACTGGCTACCGAAGCAAGGGCGACGGACTACAGGCGCTGCAGGCGACACGACAGCTACTTCCACACAACCTCCTCCAACTGACCCACACCCTTGACACACACCCCCTGCTGAACCCCTAACTCCACTCCCACGTCACCCCCCTAGCACCACTCCTTCGGCTCCCACACACCCACCCCCCTGAGCGGCAGCTGCAGCAGCGGGAGACGGAGGAGGAGGAGGAGTAGGGGACGGGGCACACAACCGGCACCCCCACAACCGCCACCCCCACACTCCTCACCCCCAAACCCTAAAACGGGTGGCACGGGGTAGGAGCGCGGGGGACGGCGAGGGGGACGGCGCGCGGCCCCCAGGGCGCCACCACGGGGCAGTGAGGGGCCGCGTGCGGCTCCCCAGGGCGCCGCGACGGGGCAGCGGGGGGTCGCGCGCGGCTCCCTTGGGCGGCGCGACGGGGGGGGGGGACGCGCGGCCCCCGTGGCGCCACGACGGGCAACGGAAGGGGGGGGACGCGCGGCCCCCGAGGCGCCTCGACGGGCGACGGGATGGGGGGGACGCGCGGCCCCCGCGACGCCACGACGGGCGACGGGAGAGGGCGCCACGACTGGCGACGGGATGGCGGGGGGGGGCGCGCGCGGATCCACGGGGTAGAAAACCGCCGCGCGCCTCGAGCGCACGGCAGGAAGAAGACGGCGCACGCCCGAGGCGTGCGAGAAGCAGAACAGCAGCGGAAGCAGTTAGGTGGCGGGCCCACCCACAGGATCGACCCAAGGGAGTCGACCTGCTCTGAAACCATATCAAAAGTACGAGCAGAAAGTTTAGAAGCAGAAAGGAGGGTTTTCACTAGCAGTAGTTGGGATACATATAGCAAACCCTAACTGGGTGTACCCGCTATAGAGCACCCCACTACAGGCTAGATAATAACATTCTGACAAAGCAGCGTGCCGATGACCGGTTGAATCACCGGGCAGAGCAGCATGCAGTGGTCTAGGGTTTCAGGGGCACCGCAGTGTGGGCAGACCCCCCTGGGGCCCAGGAAACACCAGCCTCCCTCCGACCTGGAGGTTCTTACTGTGCATCTTGAGCACCACGTCTCTTGCCCTGTATGGGACGACCAGAGAGTCGCGCCTTTGCAGCACCGCTTTCCAGTCTATTTTCCTCCCCCAGTCCTCTTCCCACTCGCCCCTTCTTCCTGACTCCGTCGTCGGGCCCGTGAGTAGCCTGCGTATCACTCTGGGCGCCGCAGGCCTCATGTCCTCCTCAACCAGTCGTGTCTGACACAGCTTCGCCCGCGGGTCTCCCATCACGCCGAGGACAGTTCTGCCCTTGACCGCCATCGGCATCACGTCCTTGACCGGGAATTTCACCGCGATGGGCCTCAACGGGGCTACTAGGTTTGTGTCGTCTGCACACCTCAGATCATCCGTCGCCACTCTTCTGTCGCTGCTGACACCACGCACCGTCAAGTACATGTTCTTCCGTGTGCGCCAAAAAACCGTGCGAACCACCTTTGCAGCCGCCACGATCGTCGTCGCCGTTCTTGGCGCCGCAAGTAGCGTTTTCCACTCCTTTGGTGCCGCCTCATATGCCTTTGTTGCCCATCTGGCTGACGCCACACTCCCAAACTCCTCCCTCAGTTTTTTAATACCCTTTATCCCTCTCCCTCCGTCTTCCTTGGTCTCAAGCAGGTCCCCGATCTTGGTTGTTAGGATGGCTGCTGTCCCCTGCAGGTTACCCTACGGGCTGTTTCCCCGGAACATGATGCGGCGGTTGAAACACAGGAGCTCTTGCTCCACCTCCCATTCATTTGTCGGTGCTGGAAGGTCGGCGAACGGCGAGTCCCAGAAAACCTCCACCACCGCCTTCCACCTCTGACTTCCCTTCACCCAATGTTTGCCCGCCGACTTATGTGCGTACAGAGTTCCCACGCCCTGTGGCAGCGCAGCCGCCTTCTCCGCAAGCCACTTCTTCGTGACGTTTTTCTCAGTCAGCAGCTTCCCCACCGTTCGGATCGCCAGGCTGTCCAGACGCGCCTTCGGATCGACCAGCCCCATGCCTCCTTCCTTTTTTCGGCAGCCACGCCAGGTCGCCGCTCCAGAAGACAAACAATATTTTTGCCGTGGCCTGACCTTTGGAAACGTAATTGTCGCAAGTCTTTTTTATTTTGGCCCACAGCTCCTCCGGCGGCGGATATATCAGCGCCTGGAACAGGAAGATCGGCATGATGTAGCTGTTTATGACCGTGACCCTCGCTGCTGTAAGCAGATGCTGATTTTCCCACTTGACTAACTCCTTTTTCCCTCGTTCCCACGCCCTCTCCCAGGACGGTGCCACCTCTCCGTTCGGCGTGACCCAGACCCTGAGCAGGCGTTCTGGCTCCCCCTCCGCTGCCCACTTGAAACTGACTCCTGGAAGTGACATTTTCCCCCTGTTTCGCCCGAGCGGCATGACGATTGACTTCTCGCGGTTTGTGTGCAGGCCCGACACCTCACCGAACCACTCAAGCGCCTCCGCCGCCGAGTGGAGTTGCTCTGCACCGTGGAGGATCAGCGACGTATCGTTCGCATAGCCCACGTACGCCACCTCTTCTCCCTCATCCGCCTTTACCCCCAGTCCTCTCTTCCTGATCTCCGAGCATAGCGGCTCCAGCGCACAGAGGAAAAGGTAAGGTGCTAGCGGGCACCCTTGCCGTACCCCCCTTCGCATGTCTACCTTCTCTCCAATACATCCGTTCACTGCTATCTTCGTTCCTGACCCTCGATGTAGCCCCTCCGTCCACCGTATAAACTCGGTACCCCCAGCTTCTTCAACGTTTCGAAGAGGAATGAGCGCGACACCGTGTCGTATGCCTTCTGGAAGTCGACCATCAGGAGATACCAATCCTCGCCATCGTTATCCGCCGCCTCAATCGCATCCGCTACAACCGCGACCGCGTCCGCCAGGCTCCGTCCTGGGATGAAGCCGTGCTGCTCCGCCGAAATTATCTGGTGAAGTTCCTTTTTAAATATGTTCGCCATGACCTTCGCCAGCACTTTGTACACCGTGTTCAGTAGTGTGATAGGACGGTAGTTCGTCAGCTGATCCTTCTCCCCTTTTTGGTGTAGCAGAACGATAACCGCCGTCGTGACCGACTCCGGCAGCCTTCCTGTTTTTTTCAAAATCACGGACAAAATCCATGAAGACACCCCCCAGCAGGTCCCAGTGTGTCACGAACAGCTCTGTCGGGAGACCGTCCTGCTCTGGCGATTTCCCCCTTGGCAACCCAGCCAGAGCCAATTTCACCTCCGGCTCCGACCACGGGGCTTTGAGCCTTCTCACCGCCTCCTCCGGTAATGTTCCGTCCACCGTGAACGGCCTCCTCAGTTCCGCCGCGTCGCCGGCTTTGCTGAAAGCTTCAGCAAAATGTGCCGACGCTGCCTTGAGCACCTCCTTTGAACCTTTGAAACGCTGCCCTTTGTAAGCCACCTCGCTGATGATTGTTCGCTCCTTGGCCGACAAGTAAGGTGACGGAACCTCCCCTTGTAGCTCAGCTTTGAGACCCGCGAAGACCTCCAGTCTCTCCCTGTCGTTTTCACGGTAGGACTCCAACTGCTCCTCCTTGGCTAGCAGTGCTCTCTGAATAGCTTCATCCGTTGGCCCTCCCATCACCAGATGTCGTAACTTTTCCACTTCTTCAGTGACATGCCGTTGCGTCATCACCACCCGTTTTCGCTCCTCTCTCTCGTGCGCTCTCAGCCCCCCCATGAGCCGAGAGATCACCTGCTCCAAAGGGTGACCACCATCCTTGACTGGTGTCTTAGTCACCTTCTCAATCACTCTCTGCACCCCTTTTTTATCCTTCCGTGTTGCCTGAAACCTCCAGAGGCCCAGGCCGTACTCCTGTGACGAGACGATGCGCAGGGACAGGCGGATCGCAAACCAGTGATCCGTCAGCTTCTTTGGCACCTCCGCGTGGCTTGCCTCCAGCAGATTACCAAGCAACAACGTCGAAATCAGGCTCTGTCAATGCGGGACTTTGCCTTCGTCGCCTTCACCCGGAACGTGTATTCCTTCTCCGTGGGGTGCAGCGCTCTAAAAGCATCGCGGAGATCATGCGACGGCCATAAGCTGATGAACCTCTGATTCTCCTTCCCAGACCCTATTCTTGACGACTTGTCCAGATCCGGGTCGGCGATAATATTCAGATCCCCCACCACCACCATGTGCGCTGCTGACGGCTGCGCCTGTACGAATGGGGTCAGATGCTCGGTGTGAAACTTCGCCTTGTTACACGCCTGTGCCGGGAGGTACGCCGCTATCAGCCTGAAAGCCACGTCCCCCCCTTCCACCGTCACCCCTAGCAGCCTCCCAGATGAGTCCGCCAAGACATCTGAGAAACTTATGTGTTTTGCAAAGGCGAGGATTGCCACCCCCCCAGCCGCTTGACTGGGGCTCGCAGCAGCCCACGCTTTTGGTCTCAGCTCATTCCAAAAAATATTATCTTCCTTGATCTGTGTGTCTGACAAAACAACTATGTCCGCTGCCTTGCGCAGCCACTGCCGATGCTTGCTTCCTTTTCCGTTGCTTCCGAGGCCGTTCACATTGACCCCGCAGATGGTAAGGCTGGTTGTGTTACCCATTAATCCACTCTTCTGAGAGCCCCACGCATCCACGGGCTTTATTACACAAGGTGCTACACATGGCACATCCAGCTGAGACTAACTTCTCCCTGCTCCGAAAACTTCTGACCCCCACCGATGTCCAGTGCAGGTCCATGCTGCGTCGTGGCGGCCTTACTTCCCATACTCCTTCCGGACATCCGCCAGGTTCTACTTTCCCCTGCTCTGCTGGGTAGCAGCACCCGCCTTGAGCAGGCCGGTACAGTGGCGCTGGGACTGAACATGCTCCACCGCCTGTTCGAAGTTGTTCCCATGAGCCTTCCCGCACTCCTCTTGCACGCAAATCCATTCCTCCCGGACCCCTCCCACCGAGGATAGGGAAATTGCCGGGTCTGCGATGATGATCTTCGCCGCCGCTGACAGCTTCAGAGAAGCAGCTGCTTGGGGGGGAGGCGACACAGAAGTCAACTTGGGGGTCCGCTGCTGCGACCACCTGGAAAACAAGGTAAGCGCGTAGATCATTGCCGTTGATCTCATGAGCACGCAGCAGCGACAAACCCCAGTTGCCAATGTTATTCTGCCTCTCCTTATTAAACTCATCATGAAAGCAGGTCATTTGCATGCCATTGCAAAACTCGCAGGTGAGAGCAGGAAAAGACACGAGGAGATCAATGCCATGAATCTTGTCGGTGACGCGGTGCCACCACTTATACTTATCCCCCGGGTGCCTGTAGACCAGGCCCTTAATCTTATCAGTGTCTGACCCCGAGACAGGATCCAGGACCCTATGAAACGACGAGCCGTCACGGAAAGCCGTACGACCCCGCTTCATCAGCATCGCAGTCATCAGATTCTTCCGGATCATTTCCGGAGAGATCACTGCCGGGACGCCCTTCAGCAGCACCTCAATCGCCTCTGGATGCAGCGTGCGCTCCCTCAGGTAACCAGCGTTCTCCGGGTGCTGCCAGCCAAGCGTAAGCTTCTTGTCATTCATCGTATAGTGCTCCATTTCCCGGCTCCAGACAAAACTCGCATCAGCCTCCTGCTGAAAGATCACCTGCATCCGACCGAAATGCTTCTTGGATAGGTAAGTAGCCGATAGCTGCTGGAAACCAGTCGTGGTCCTGACGTTCTCTGACAGGTGCTTTCCCCACACCAGCAGGAGATGCCGGACCGTATTGATGGTGCGGGGAACTTCCTTGTTCCAGGCAAACGGAATCAGCAGGGTAATGGCGAACCCCGCCTGCGCAGCGATTTCGTTGAGCACCTCCGGGTCTTGACACTCATCCGGATCGTCACTGAGGTAACCGTCATCGTTGTCCTTGTCCTCCGCTTTCGCTTTGCCTTTTTCAAGCACCTCAGGCATCGACGACGAGCCTCCAGCAGCGGTCGGCTTATCCACGTCATTTCCTTTCCCACCTGCCGGCAGATCATCCAGCTTGAGGGCCGACGTACGTTCCGCCAGTTTCTTAACCATCTCCGCGCCGAAAGAGCCGGCCACGCCGTTGAAAAGCGTCTTAGGAGTCACCGGATCCAGACACGCATCCGACGGCTTCTTCCCACGCACACAAGCAGCACCTGGAGGAGGTGGAGTCGGCACGTCGCCAGCGGGAGCCATGGGGTGATGATGAAAGAATGTAGGTCTGCAAGCGTAGAACTTGAAAATAAACTGAGCCCCAGAAGCTCCTGTGGTGACTTGTGTCTTTCCGTCTTCTTACGCATGTATTTGTAGATGATGATAGCCTTGAATGCTTCAGCAGGACGATAGTTCTTGGGAATACAAACGCCATTGGCCTTGGGAACGCAACAAGCCCTAAAGTCCTCATTGTCAGGATAAGCCTTGAAAGTGCCTGACAATAAGATCGTTTGTACAATGTCCTCTGTATCAACATAAAAAGTGTACGCACGGAATCCTAAAGTCATAAGGAGTACGAATCTAGGCTTTAAATTCCCAACTGATAAGAAATTGTAGGACATTGGCTCGATTAAACTCCCTGGAAACCGCCATGGCACATAGGTGGGAGGCGAGGAGAACAGGTATCTTTATGTGTGCCTAATGTGCCTAAATAGATAGCTGGTTCGCTGTGTTACTGTATTTCCCCGTAAGAACACCCTCAAGTGTTTAATGGGATAATGGTGGCTGCATAGGAAAAAATGAATATAGCACTCGGGGTAGATCATATGTCATACGGTTCTCCTGTTTTGTTTTCCACAGCCATGTAGTCAGTGTACACATGTATGTTCGTATATGTACTTTGTTGTAGGCTAGGTTAGGTTGCACAGACTTGCCACCTAGATTCGTTTGCATTTAATAATTGATTCACTCACTACCAGCACACTCTAAACCCCTCCTATGCTTAGAACTGGGCATTGGAGCCATTCACGTGGAGAGCACCTGGCAGGCCAGCACTGCATTTGTTGGCACAAGCACCGAACCCGTCTCTCTCCCTCCTTCTCTTCTGCCGCTCCAGTGATCGCAGCAGGGGCGGCAGAGGTGCCATCACTAGAGACTTGTCCGGCAGTGCAATGCAAATGTGGTCCAGGAAGCAGACAAGCTGCGCTGCCCACGGTTTTTGGGACATGGCTGGGAGGCGAACCTTGCCGACCCACGTCCAGGCGTGTGTGTGCGGATCCCAGGCCTTCAACTAGTGGTCGGGCCCTGCCATCCCTGTAGAGAGGGAGGAGAGGCGGGGAGAGGGGAAGAGAGGGGAGGAGAGGGCAATGGTTGAATGGCGGCACAGCAAGCAAAGTCTACTATAAACATGTGCCCCTGCACCGACGCTGTCGGGCCCTGCCATCCCTGTAGAGAGGGAGGAGAGGGGAAGAGAGGGGAGGAGAGGGCAATGGTTGAATGACGGCACAGCAAGCAAAGTCTACTATAAACATGTGCCCCTGCATTGATGCTGTCGGGCCCTGCCATCCCTGGAGAGGGGGAGAGGGGAGGAGAGAAGTGGTGATAGATGCTCCCTCTCATGCTCTTCACACATACATAGCACTCCGCCAGTCCTACCAGCTCAGGAGAACACCATTGCACTGCTCAATGCCCTATGCCTTGCGATTTGGACACCTTGCTCCACTACTGCTCTATGCCCCAGCGTAGCACATACCGCCCCACCATGCCCCACCACGCTTCTCCAACCACGCCCCACCACGGTGCACCACCCAATATCGCGCAGCACGGCACATGGCATACCTGCACCATGGCAGGGGCAGCTCGATGACGGTGTTGTCAAGCGGGTTGAAGGCCACGCCAAGGCGCTGGCCCCACCCCAATGTTCTTCGCCACCAGGCAACCCCCCACCACCGCCTGGTACACCGGCAATGTCATCAGCTCCGCACGCGCTGATGCCGCTGCTGTACCCACCTGAAGGGAGGAGGGGACACGGTAGGAGGAGGTACGAAAGGGGTAGAGGATGGCAGGAGGAGGGGTAACAAGGATAGGAGAGGGAGAGAGGAGGTATGGCCAGGGGCATGAGCGCACATGGAGAAGTTCAAGGAAAGATTGGTAGCCCACCGCTCCTCACCTGTGTCAGAAACTTACCCACCTCCATGCCCTGCTTCTCAGATCCTTCGTCTCTTCAGGTTCCTCTCCTTTTCTCTCATGCATAGTGTTCTCCCTGACCTCACCTAGGTGCTACTCCTCTCACCCTTTGCCTCTCTCTCTCCTTTGGTCACTTGCCCTCTGTTGCTCTGCTGATGAGCTCTTGGTTCCGTCACATAGCCACCATTCTCTCGTGCTTTCTTATCCGTAGCTTGTCATATCTCCTAAAGATCCCTGCTTGCTTCAACTTCACAGCAAGATACTCGTGTTTCAAGGAAACATTCAAGCAATAAAGGTAGCTCGATAAGAATCCTCCTATTCTACCAGATAGTCTCCTCCTTGTCCCGTCACAGCCTAGTCTCTACGTCTGCAGCCTCAGCTACCTACACGCAGACTAGCACCCATGCTGCCTCTCGCCAGCTTTCCCCCACCTCTGGCTACATTGCCTCCAGCCATCACTGTACAGATCCAGCTGGCTCCTTGAGCAAACCTGCGCACACATGGAAACAAACAAGCATGGATTCGTACACCCATCCAAGTGCTGGTGGAGAACCTTCTCTTCCACTGTCGCTGCCTTGGGCTGTAATTCCCTCCTGCTGCCAACCCTCGCTTACGTAAGTGCCGCCCCATTCTCTCTCCATGCAACTCCTGCACCCTTCGCCTCGGCAGATGCCAAACCTCCCTGGTCCTTTCCCCTCCTTCAACTGTCGCTCGACCTTTCACCTTCCGTCCTCTTTGTTGCTCGGCTCGCTATGTACAAAATGTGCAGTATGTACATCCCCCATTACGCTTATTCATCCCTTCACATTCACAGAAATGTGACAACTGTCAGAAACTTACCCACCTCCATGCCCTGCTGCTCAGCTCCTTCATCTCTTCAAGTTCCTCTCCTTTTCTCTCATGCATAATGTTCTCTCTGACCTCCTCCTGGCGCACTCACCCTGGTGCTACTTCTCTCACCCTTTGCCTCTCTCTCTCCTTTGGTCACTTTCCCTCTGTTGCTCTGCTAATCCCTCTCTTGCCCCATTCCATGACCAGCTGCCGCCGTCCTCGCCCTGATCATGGGACCCCTGTAGCATACTGCCTTCTTCTGCTTTCTTGCTTTCGCCGCATTGGTCACGTGATCCATCACTCTCTTTCCTTTGTCGTCTTCCACACCAGCACCCCAGAGTCCTTGACCTCCTTCACGGTCCACCTCTGCTGAGAAACCCCCACTTCCAGCCCGTCTCGTTTTGCTCGGCGCACATACACCTCCTGACCTTCTTCGATGTTCGGCGCCTTGCCCTGCATCTTAACCAACTGCCTCGTGTTGTAACGATGGATGTCTCGCAGTTGCGCCACTTTCAGGCTGTTCATAGCCGCTGGCAGCATCTTCTTCAAGTAGACTGCCTTTGCGTCCACCAATGCCAGCATCTTCTTCCGCGGTCTCTCATTTTATTCACGCCAAGGTCTCTGGATCCCGCCAAATTTCCGCTGCCCCCCGTGCCTGCACTCCTGCTGCCCCCTTCTCCTTAACCATTATTGTCAGTGCTGCTAGCGGTGGCCCATTCCCGGCTCCTGGCTCTCCCTCCTCTGTTGGTGGGTTCCTAGACAGGCCGTCGGCATGCTGCATAGTCTTGCCAGGCCTATGCTTCACCGTAAAATCATACTCCTGCAGTTTCATTGCCCACCTCGCTCTCCAACCTGTGAGCGTCTAGTTGTGCATCAACCATAGCAGTGGCTGATGATCGGTTATCAGGGTGAAGTGCCTCCCTTGCAAGTACACCCGGAAGTGCCCTACTGCCCACACCGTGGCCAGCCCCTCTCCCTCGTATGATGAGTAGATTGCCTCAACCGGGTCGCAAGTTATGCTTGCAAACGCCACCACCTTCTCCACCCCCTTCTCCATTTGGCTCAGCAACGCTCCCGTGCCTATGCTGCTCAAGTCCATGTATAGCACAAAGGGCGCCTTCCTATCTGGCAATTTCAGCACTGCTCCCGCCTTCACTGCTTCCATAAAACCCTTTAGCGCCTTCTCCTGAGGCTCTTCCCATTGCCATTTCTTATCCTCCCGTAGCAGCCGGTTCAAGAGCGCCCTCAGTCAACTCCTGTCCCTGGGCCAATTCACCCTGTCTAGGGCCTCTAACTTGGCCTTCTGGATGCTCAGCTCTCCTTCTGCCACCTCAAATTCCAGGTAGGCTACACTACTGTGCCCGAAGCGACACTTTCCGGGATGACATGCCAGCCCTGCCGCTTCTAATGCCGCCAGCGTCTCTTCCACGTCTCTCAGGTGCGTCTCAGCGTCTGCACTGAAAATGATGACATCGTCTATGTAGCAAACCGCTCCTTTCACCTCTCTCAGCACAGCATCCATCACCCGCTTGATTATCGCGGAAGCATTCCTTAGTCCAAACGGCATAAAGTTTCATTCGTACAAGCTGTCGGGCCCGTGAATGGCGGTCTTCTTGTTGTCTTCTTGTACGATTGGAATCTGATTAAAGCCCTGACGCAAGTCTCGCGTTGAGAACACTTAACTCCCATCCAGCTGGTCAAAGATTTCCTCTGCCATATGCATCGGGTATCTATCTGTGGCTGTCACCTTATTCAATCTTCGGTAGACGCCGCACATCCTACGGGATAATACCGCGCCTCTCAAGTCTGTTCTAGCCGCCACCACCGTCGCTGCTGCGTAATCTGAGGTAGACTGCTGTATGAGTCCTATTTCCAACAGTTCTTGACACTTCTCTGTGCACACAACAATGTCTTGCGGGCTCATCAGTCTGCGACGCTGGTAGATGGGCACCTCACTGGTCAGTGGCAGTCGCATGGTGCTGGTGACGCATCTTCCCAGTTCCTTCAGTGTATGCGCGAAGGCTGCAGCGTGCTGTCTTAGTGTGGCCTCCAGCCGGCTCGCTGCTTCTCCTTGCATGGCCGCCCCTATGTTCCACTGTGTTCCCGTTCCTGTGGCCCTCCTGTCCTTGATACTACAGCTGCCTCCTCCATATGCTCGGACTCTTGCGCTCTCCTCGGCCCATCTGCCGTCTCTGCTACAGCCGCTTCTTCCCTTCCTATCTGTCCCCCTGCTGCTTCACCTTGCCCCACTACTACAGCCACACCCTGTTGTGGCTCTTGTGCTCTCCTTGGCCTGCCTGCGGTCTTTTCTGCCACTGTCCCTTCCCTGGTTGTCTCTGCCTCTGTGACATCCTCTATCCCTGCTATCATTGCCATGTAAGCTCTTCCTGGCCCCAGGAACACTTCATCCGGGTCTGGAATCCAGCGCTCCGTCGGATCCTCCTCCTCCTCTGAATCCCAATCCATCTCTGGCTCCTCCCACTCCTCTTCTTCCTCCTCTTCCTCCTCTTCCTCCTCATCTTGATCTAGGTATCTTCCCGGGATCCTGTGCTTATCACTCAGCATCTCTGTTCGCTGCTCTTGTGGCACCCCTCTGTGCCGCGTCTTCCACGCCTCCTGCTCCAAATGTTCCAATAGGTTCTCCTCTTCCTCCTCCTTTATCTCCTCCTCTCTGGTCCTGCGCTCTGCTTGGGCCGCATGATCTCTCCTCCGCTCCAGCCGGTTTTTCTCCAGGTGTGGTGCATGACATGGACCAACTAGTGTAGCACGTTCAGGTCCATTGCGTTGCCTAGCGCCTTCCTGCGTTGCCGCTGTGTCACCTCTCCACTGGCTGTCGCCCCTACCATGAATGGCTAACTCCCTTTCTAGGGCAGTAGGTTCCTCCCATACTCCCTTCATCCTGTCAAACATCATCCCCGGCCCTTCTATCCCTTCTTCCATCTTAAAGCCACTCGCCATGTGGTGCATCTCTACTTCCATAAAATTCGCCAAACCAAGATCTGGCGAGCGGCACACGCTCCAAGACCAAGATGGTCGGAGGATTCGGAGGCCAAACGAATCTAACGGCTGAAGGACAAACCAGCCCGGCTACGACAAATGAGGCGACAACTACGATCAGCACCATCGCACTCGAGCAGTTGTTTCAACGATTGGCAACTATGGAAAAAGACATCAAAGCATTGCGGAAAGGCGACGTGGGAACCTCCTCGCAACCAGCACAACCTGCTCAACCGGCCACAAACGGCCGCGATACTGCCCCGCACACCTTCTCCCTCGGCACAGACAAATCAACACTAATAGCCCACTGTCCAAGTGATGAAGTTATCAACTTTGCGCAAGCACGCTTCCTCATCGTCTCAAAGATCAAGACAAAGACCGCGTTTGACACCAAAGACTTATACACATGAAGTTTTGAGCTAGAGATCCTCCTATAGACAACGCAGATCTACCATTACTTTGACGGCTCCTATCCTAAACTGGTGGAAGACACGAAGACGCTCGGGCTCAATACTACAGCGAGTCCCTTATGGCATACAGCGTGCTGCTAAGAAACATGACGCCCGCGGAGCAACTCGGCATTCGCTCCTACAAAGAGAGCATCGTTCCAGCCTTGGAAGTCTGGAAGCACCTCGTTGAGGTATAGTAGCCAAAGGACTCAGTCACTTCCAGCAGGCTCCTGCAGCAACTTATGGAGACCAAGATGGGGCAAAGGGAGAAAGCGAATTCATACATCAATCGTTGTCGGAATATCCATGATCAAATCACGAAGCATGAAAGTGCGATATCGGATCAAATCTTCGTGAACATCATGCTCCAATGACTCATGGTTTGAGTAGAAGCCCTGTAAGGCGCTACTCCGATAGAGAGGGACAATTTCAGAAGCTGCCCTCTGCGCCGCTCTCCTCACTGAACAAAAAAACATGGTCTCGAGCAAGACAAGCTCAGCGCCGCGCCGAGAGTGCCTCGCCTTCTACGCTAACAACCGTGAAGAGTGACGACAACCACGGCGCCATTATTGCCATTATTGCAAAGTCTTCAAACAATTAACGGACCGATGCAAATTCTGGTCCCATAATCGCCACCCAAATTCCACTCACCATA